GGAAAAGAAATTTATTTTCTGAACAAGCTGGTATAAAAAGGACTTATGGGGAGAATCCTCTCTTTACTGAGAAGCCGCTTTGATAAGTACCATAGGGAAAAATATCTGAGTCTGCAGGGCCTGGTGCTGAGCAGAATATTCTGTATCAGGCAAGAGGAAGGATTTGCTTGTTGCTCCAGAGATAGAAAGAGAAGGACATGAAATAAGCACCAAAAGACAGTGTTTTTTCAACTAAATGAAAAACAACCAAGGAGAAGAACTGGCAGCCAAGCCTAGAAAAAAAGATATAAAGAGATTTCTTTGTTGTTTCTGAAAAGTCCAACTGTTTCCAATAGTTTTTCTGTTTGCTTGTCAAGTTACCTTTTCTTTTTAAATTTAGTAAAACAACACCACCACCATCATTATCAAAAGGCAGCCATCCAGGGCTTCCCTGGTGGCGCGGTGGTTGGGAGTCCGCCTGCCGATGCAGGGGACGCGGGTTCGTGCCCCGGCCCGGGAGGATCCCACGTGACGCGGAGCGGCTGAGCCCGTGAGCCACGGCCGCTGAGCCTGCACGTCCGGAGCCTGTGCTCCGCAGCGGGAGAGGCCACAACAGTGAGAGGCCCGCGTACGGCAAAAAAAAAAAAAAAAAAAGGCAGCCATCCCTCAGCTCCCAAACTAATGTTGAACTTGGATAGTGATCCCCCCTTCTTACCTGCCCTAAAGTCACATAGGACCCAAGGAAAAAAATCTAAATTCTATATACTGTTGTCAGGTATCCCAGTGTACCAACTACACTGATCCTAAAAATTGGAAATTCAGTAAGTGGCTGTATAAGTGACAGCTTATTCAGTTGAAAATCAGTTTGGACCGAGTCTTATCAAAGTCAAATCCCTGTCTACATAAAATATGGTACCTCTGAGTTAAAGTCTTATTGGCTGAGTGCTGCATAAGTGCAATAAAAGCTTATGATGGTCTGTTTTCCTTGCAATAAATATCCACTTTAGCAAATTGGAAGGTAGAAGGAAACTGGGTTCTAAAAAGCGCAAATATCTATAACCCAGACTTCTGGGTAGTAATTGTGTAAACCCTGTCAGGATCGGGTTCAGCAGCCCTGGAGCAGCCCACCTGCAGCTGCCTTGCGAGACCTCGGACTTCTGAGAAGGGTCCTCTCATCAGAAGAGGCTGGCTGGGCAGCCTGCAAATCTGGAAGGGTCAAGGCCAGTTCATTGCAGGAGGTCACACTTCCTGTCCCCTATTCCCTTCACATCTTTGCGTGGACAGTTACCCGGAGATGCTGACGCTAATAGGTCTGTAAAGGTCCAACGACAACCTGAAAGAGTAAAACTCGTTTGCTTTCTTAACATGAAGGTAAAAACGAGTGACCTCTGAAATGCAATTAGGGACCTTGGGAATAAGTAAGCCCTTGGGATCTCATTCACAAGGTGGGCTGCCCTCCCTGCCTATGGAAAGATGACCACTTGCAGAGATGCGAGGGGCCGCTGAACTGTCATACGCACAAAACACACACTCTGTCACACACACACCTCTCCCACACACACATACAACAGGAACTGTCATCATCCAGAAAAATGGTGATTAAGAAAAAAAACATTAGCTCATCTATAATCTGGGAGAGGGGATGGATAAATGAGTCGCTGGGTAGAGGTGTTATACATCTTCTCCTTGGCAGAAGGACAGTGAAACGCTGCCCCTCAGGCACAACTGTCTTTAGGGCAGGGCCTTGCTGAGAGGGTCTTTGATGGAAAAGGAGGTCAGCCAGTGGGAAACACGGGTTCCTTACCTCCTCTCCGGCCTCAATGTCTCGGACTGCACGCAGCAAGAGGTGGGGTCCGTTGAACACAATTGAACAGTTGGGGTCACAGCTGTGATTGAGCAAAGACATACTGCAGGAAAGAAAAAAAAGGAGAGACCATCGTGGCCCAGTAGATGGAGTCAAATATCTAAACATAACGACTACTGTGGGCAAAAGACACTTTAGCTTAGGGGCAGGGGGACAGGTAAGGTTGACAGTGTACCAGGGATTGAGTGCTCTGGGGCCACTAGCCCACTTCCTGTGAAGTGAAACGCTCCCCAAGACGGAGGCTCATTAGGGAAGTTTGTTAATAAAAAAATTCTGAGTCCTTCTGGGGGATGGGTGAGGGGAGGTAGCTGTCTCATTATACCAGCTAGGAAGGCAACCCAACACGAAGATGGGAAAAAAAACTGACTTGCAAAGGAATAATTTCTGAGATAATGGGATACGGCAGTTAAAACCGCAGCCAAGACACCACTGAGCTTCCCACACAGGACCGCATTTGTCAAGCTCCTTTGGAGGAACTGCCACCTTCACGAGGACATGCACAACTACACTGAAGAATAATTAGGAGTACTTCCTCTGCAACTAGGTTTATCTCGCTAACGAGACCTTCATGCATTCTGGGCCATGGCCAAGTCATTTTATTACCTTGGAGGCACATTTTCTTTTTTCCATCTGGGGAGGGAATGGATTTAAGCTGCCACCACATTTCCAGTTAGAAATAACTGTAAGTAAGCATCACTATGTAGAAACCATTTTCTTAGCACTTGAGCATGTTTATCAAATTTAGCCATCGCCATAATATTCGGAGGGTCATTTACTGATGAGGAAACTGACATGTGGAAGTTAAATGACTTCCCCAAGGACACATAACTAGTAAATGGTGACTGAATTTGAACCAGGTGGTCTGAACTCAGAGCCCATGCTCTGAACTAGTCTGTGTTACTGCTTTTTGAGGACCCAGACCACAGACATGTAGTTGATAACACGTGAGAAATAAGAAGCTGAATTCTCAAATTCACAGTTAATTATAAGAAAGGCCCTATTTGTATTAGGACCCTAATAGCATGAAAACAAAATAAACTAGGAGTGACCCTGGAGTGCTTGTGGGAGGACAGTCTAGTAGCTCAGTGATTCAGATCACCTCAGAGATAGCTGGAGAGAACGCTTCAGAAGGCCAGAGCCTGAAAGTGTTCTCGCCTCCTGGAGCAATGGGGCTCAGAGTATGCTAAGCCGAAAGACCAAATGAACCCAACTGGCGCAGTACGGCAAGTCTGGTGAAACGATCATGTGCACCAGCCCAGAAGGGTGGGGGAATGACAAAATCTCAGCCTGACGGTTTATTAGCACCCACAATCCCCAACTTTTTACCCCAAAGTTCCTAAGAACAAGAATTTAGGTCTGTGGTATGCCTCTTCGTTAATACCATAGCATATAATGTGGGGATATAAGACGTTTTTTTCTTTTTTTAAACTTCATATTTTCCATTTTCTTGTAACTTATCATTAAGTTTCAAGCGTGGCTCTTGAAGCAGCTGCTTGTAACAGCCTTTCTAACTACTTTTAAAAGGCTGGGGAGGTGGGTGGGAATTAAAGTTGCTTCTTGCAGTAAATGAAATGCCATCCACCATACCTAGGATACAGGCCAACACCAACTTCCTGCATCTCTGCATTACAGATGGTGAAAGAGTTGCAGATCACCTGTAAAAACAAGGGGGAGACAGAATTACCAGTCACCTAAGAAACTTCATAGGCAAGAGAACAAAAGTTTTCAAAATAAAATGTAGGATCCTTGGGACTTCCCTGGTGGCACAGTGGTTAAGAATCCGCCTGCCAATGCAGGCGACACGGGTTCGAGCCCTGGTCCAAGAAGATCCCACATGCCGTGGAGCAACTAAGCCCATGAGCCACAACTACTGAGCCTGCGCTCCAGAGCCCACGAGCCACAACTACTGAAGCCCACGTGCCCTAGAGCCCATGCTCCGCAACAAGAGAAGCCACCGCAATGAGAAGCCCGTGCACCACAACGAAGAGTAGCCCCTGCTCACCGCAACTAGAGGAAGCCTGCGTGCAGCAATGAAGACCCAACGCAGCCATAAATAAGTAAATAATAGGGATGGAGCAGGAAAGAGAAAGAGAAATTTTGAAGAATATGTGCCATGTGTTAGATTTACTTCTCTTCATTATTTTATTTATTTCTTTATTTATTTTTGGCTGCGTTGGGTTTTCATTGCTGCGTGCAGGCTTTCTCTAGTTGCAGCGAGCGGGGGCTACTCTTCATTGCGGTGCACCGGCTTCTCTTGCAGTGGCTTCTCTTGTTGTGGAGTGTGGCTTCAGTAGTTGTGGCTCGTGGGCTCTAGAGCACAGGCTCAGTAGTTGTGGTGCATGGGCTTAGCTGCTCTGCAGCATGTCGGATCTTCCTGGACCAGGGCTCGGACCCGTGTCCCCTGCACTGGCAGGCGGTTTCTTAAGCATTGTACCAGCAGGGAAGTCCCTGCAGTGTTATTTGAAATGCGCTTGCACCTAGTCACCCCAAACCTTCTCTCTTACCTTGTCACTTAGAAACAGAACATGAAAATTATAAAATCTAATCTGACTGGTTTTTAAAAAGTAAATGATAGTAATGGTAAACATAAGGTCATGAAACCATGATGCTATCTAAGGCCAAACCAAAAACATTCATTTAAAAATCTATGTGTTGGGCTTCCCTGGTGGCGCAGTGGTTGGGAGTCCGCCTGCCGATGCAGGGGACGCGGGTTCGTGCCTCGGTCCGGGAAGATCCCACATGCCGCGGAGCGGCTGGGCCCGTGAGCCATGGCCGCTGAGCCTGCGCGTCCGGAGCCTGTGCTCCGCAACGGGAGAGGCCACAACACTGAGAGGCCCACGTACCGCAAAAAACAAAAAAACAAAAAAACTATGTGTTGATAAATAATGCTTTTTTTTTTTTTGCGGGGGGCTACAAAACTAATTCAAAGCAAATTAAACTATGTATATCACTTGTTAAATGGGCAAATTAAAAGTTTGTCCTCATGTTATATGAATATTATTGATTTTGCAAATGTATTTTACTGTACAAGCTAGGTAATAAATAAAATAATCTTACTTAGGTAAACTACTTTATCACATCCCATATCACAATATACTTGGACATGTGTCCTTCTAGACCCTGGTACGTTCAAGTACTGTTTCCACAACTTTAAAAGTGTCTGTCACATTTCAAGCTGTGGTCACAAATAGTGTACACTCGACATATAGAATACTCAGCATTGACTTGCCAAGGCTAAAATCAACATCAAGGCCAATGTCATAACTGAGGGAACAGCAATCATAAAATTGTGCTTCCTATTTTACATGTTTTCCAAGGTCAAACTACCAAATGTTAGCAAATGAGGATTCACAGAATGAAGCCCCTTTAGATAAAATGTTTGCTTTCTAAAATCCACCCATATTTTCATTTTTCTAAGGGCTTTACTCACAGCAGAACTTATTATATCTTCAACAATTGTCCTTGATAATCGAAAGCAAAACAGGAATGATATTCACAAATCTGCCCATTGTTCTTTCCCTGAGGATATTACCTAGCATTTCACCTCCTTATAAGTCATCTGATGAAAAAGGCACTTACTATAGATGTCTGTCAAGTATGTATAAAAATATAAAGCCCTGGAACATGATTTCCATTGTTTAATTTCCCTCCCACATCCTGAGGCTCAGAACTACTATGATATTCTTAAATTATAGAATTTAACTTATTATAGAATATTCTTGTAGGTTTCCATAGCTCTGACATAGGAGTCTTTTCTGTTAAAAATTTCATTTAGTCATGCTCCTATCCAAAAAGTTTATAATCACAATGAATTCAACTTTTTTCCACAGAGCACACTTAAAGATTCTTTTGTTCAACTTGAATCTCTAAAAATGTTCTCTTACATGATAATCTAGTTTCACCATTCTCCTTCCATGTAATTGGAGCAAAAATCTACCCGTGGGCAGTGCCAGTATTCCTCACTGTAATTTTTCTGAGTTTCAGTACTAAATTCCTAAATGAAATATGCTAGGTGGTGAGTACCACCTGACTGAGGCTGAATTGAATATAGCAGAGTGTGCCTCAAATCAAGTTAACTGACTTTCCATCAAGTTAATGGAGAAAAGAAAACTGCAGAAAAATATTCCACGTGAAAGATAATACTGAACACTAACCAACTGCTTAATGCAATCCCCAAACGAAAGATGAATTCAAGTGTGAGCTGAGGTTATGCTCACTATGTAGAAATTAAGGTGAATATTCTTTCCAGGAGAAGGTTTGGCAGGCGAGGGTTTGTCATACGGATCATACTTGACATCTCAGGGACTGAAACCCCAGAAGCATATATTTCACATTAGAGCACGTGAAGTGTGCATGACTCATCTGCAAGCTGCACGGGCCTGCACCAGGGTGTTTTGGGGACTAGTGCCTGGAGGTGTTTCTGGCAAGCAGTGGCCACAGATGAGGGAGCATCTCAGTGGGTCAATCCTTCTGTGGCTTCCCAAGCCTACCCAATCCCTGGACACTGCCCAATGACCCACGTGAGCGGAAGCCAGGAAAGAAAGGACACCAGACTAGAGAGTCACAACTCTAGTTACGTAGTCCAGAGGATGCAAGAAATTAAACTCTGAGGTTAGACAGTCCCTCTTGTGATCTCTCAGGGTGTGCTCCTTTATTTTCAGAAATATAGAAGCAAGTAAAAGAGAAAATAAACCATGGATTCATTCCCACCCGCACCCCAACCCTTTCTCTGAGAGGTAATCAGCCCTTCCCCGCTTCCACCTGCCAATCTTACAGACAGACAGATACACAACAGATCGGTGAGACTTCAATGCAAGGACACAATGTGATTATTTGTCCTTTCTTCTGGTACCATATTAGATTAAATAGCATAATGAATACATAAATGGTACTCTTCCCAGCCTCTCTCCTGACGAGGCGCCTGAGTTGGTGAGGATAAAACACCGGCAACGCACCGTACACCACTTCAGTAGTGCCCTACAGAGATTCGTAAGGGAAGACCCCTTGTCCCATTCAGAGTTCATCAGAATGTGAAGAGGAGGGGGTTTGAAAGGCAGATGAAATACATCTTTTCTTCTATAACGTGTATTGCTGAAAGTAAAGTCTGATAGACTCTTCTTGGCTAGTTAGTGGGACTCCTTAGTAGGAAAACAATATAGAAGCATGAGCTTTAAAAAGATAGACAAGCCCCCGGGTGAGGGAGAGAGGCTGACTGCTGGGCTTGGATCTGGTCCTGACCAAATTTTCCAGTCTCTTCCCGGCCTCTTCTGAAAAGTCTTCTATCCTGGGAGGCCTCCGGTCTCACCCAGCTGGGGAGGGAGACCCCTCGGCCTTTGTTCCCGCATGCTGTCCACATACTCACTCCCACACTCGGCACAGGATATTACAGCTATTTCTGTATATACTTGACTTCCAAGAGAGTAGAACTTCTACTGTATTCTTTTTTTCCTCCTGGCTCAGACATGTCTGACACACTGTGTTCAAAAACTGTTTGTTTAATACTAGTGACTTCGTTAGCCTTTGTGACTTCTATATAGGATTGTTAATAAACCAAGGCAGAACTTCCCAGGTGGCGCAGTGGTTAAGAATCCGCCTGCCAATGCAGGGGACACGGGTTTGAGCCCTGGTCTGGGAAGATCCCACACGCCGCGGAGCAACGAAGCCCGTGCGCCACAACCAATGAGCCTGTGCTCTGGAGCCCGTGAGCCACAACTACTGAAGCCCATGTGCCTAAAGCCCGTGCTCGGCAACAAGAGAAGCCACCGCAATGAGAAGCCCATGCGCCGCAACGAAGACCCAAGGCAGCCAAAAATAAATAAATTTATTTTTTAGATGTAAAATATAAAATTATAAAAAAAATGTATAAATAAACCAAGGCAATCATCACCAAACAGCCAAAAAAAAAAGTTCTCTTAACGTCCTCCTGTCCTCCCCAGTTTTCTCTCTCTCCCCATCTCCATTCCTTCCTACAACAAAGTCATATCATAGTTGTAGGAAGTCACAGTGACTTACACAGACTAGGTTCTGGAACTATAAGAAGATACAAGGTCAGAGCCCTGCCCCCAAGGACTCTGAGACCAGCAGGGGAGACAGCTGTATTAGTCAGTTAACAACATTTGAACTGTACTAGTGCCCAGCAGGTTGTCACTAGCTCAGCTGGGGCAGGTCAGTGAAGGCTCACTGAAGAGCAGACGCCAGAGGAGGTACCTGGAATCTGGAGTCACGAGTGTAACTCAAACTTCTTATTCCTTATGTGACACAGTGGGAGAATATCAACTTAATTATAAACTCTAAAAATCTGGTTCCTTAGATTGAGAAAAACTGGCATAAACCTAATACCTACACCAGCTGGGGAGGGAGACCCCTTTGACTTTCAAAAGTTGAAGGTGGTGACATCTGATAACAGTAGCTGTTACAAAGTAAACACCAATAAGTAAAAGGAATAGGGGTCTAGGGTTTTGACACAGACTGCAGAAAATACCCACCACATTTCTTTCTTGGTTTAAAGAGACTCACAAACCTCCAAAATGTGTCTTCTTCTCATTCCATGTTGTGGAGAGGAGAAAAAAAGGCACAGTAGTATTAAAGATAGAAGTGCCTAAAATACCATGACTTAACTGTTTTCTCTGAAGAGCCAGGAAGGATATACTTCAAT